CGGTTTCTCTGCTGGCTTTATCTCAGTATGTTTCTGTGCACATACAAGCCAACATGAGAGGCCTCACAGGGTTCCAATTTAAACCTCAGATGCTATAGATTGTTCAGGTTTTGTCACATAAGACTCAATAGCTCGTTGTGTTTTCCATTATGTTATTAGGCCATTCTAGTGAATTCAGACTCAGTCCCACAAACAGCATCCTGCTATCAGAAATACTCACTGCTGTCTGTTCGTACATTGACTACTTGTTTCAGGGAGCTACTGAGTCTTTTTAAAACGATGAAGCTGAAGAGTTTTTTTTTTATAGATTTGATTTCATAGAGGACACCAAAAATCTGACAGTGTTTCACCACTTGCTCTAATATGCTCCAATTCATATACAAACTACCATGATACAGCGTCAGAGTTCCCAGTAAAACCATAGGTGCAGCAGATTGCTCAGGGTTCGTAATGGTTTCCATTACAGTTTGAGTGGATCTTATGATTTCCAACGCAGGCTGCAACCAAACTGTTTCAGGAAGTGCGCTTTCCACTGGCTTCCACTTTGAGCTCAGTGCGTTCCATTTGGTTGCATGCAAATACGGGCTTCTGTCAGAGACCCTAAGACTCCCAGTATAACCAGTAAACCCTCTAACTCCTATAAAGCCATTGTGTGGTGTGAATGTCAAGAGTGAGCTGATGATCTGCTTGATATGCATGAGTGGGAGACCCCTCACCCACTTCTATGAAGTTTGGTGATTTAAAGGAAACTGCACAACCACAGTTTTCACACCTAGATCATTGCTGCATGACACACTCTCTCTCCCCAGTGTGTTTCTATGTCTCTTGGCCACCTTGTCTCACTCGCTCTCAGAGATATAAATAAAAGGTTTCATGACAAGTGTAACAGTTAGAGCCAACTTCAGGGCGAGAGGCATACGACACTTAGATCAACGGTCAGACCGGATCTTTCCTCGGCCGGTCTTTGTCTTCAGTGTCGCTCCGACAGGGATTGAAACCAGGCCCGGACAGACTTGGGAATCAAACCGACGACTCAAGTGGACGGAGGTGTAACATTAACAGGTGGTGATATGAAAGTTGCAACAGCAAGGGCAGTGGTCTGTCTGTCCCTCTGGCTATGTGTGTGCCAGGTCAGAGGCTTCCACCTCCCTAAGGAGATGAACAAAACCATCCAGAACCTCCTGCAGCACTATGTGAGTACCACCAGTACTACTTCTCTTAGTGCTTAGTACTGCTGATGCTTGTGTGGTATCGGTCTGTGTAGCACTACAAACACTGGTATTAGCTTTCACTTTCCTCCTCCTGTTTCTGTCTCACTCTGATGCTCTCACCACAAACACACACATACACAAACTCAACTTTTTATTTTGGGCTCTATTTAAAAGAATACTCTGGTGTTTTTGTGTGTATTAACCAGTTACTAAATGTGAGGTATGCCACATCCAAATCATTAGCTAGTAAACTTTGTGTAATTATATTATAGTTATGCAGAGGACAGCAAGACCACTGTCTGTGATGCTGCATTCATGGATACTCCTGCTTCTGGGATTTGTAGTTTGGCTGCTGCAATGCAAGAAAGAAAACATTCAGATTGTCTTTTAGATTCTTGAATGCACCAACAAGACAGTTTCATGTAAAAATCTTGTAAACTACAAATGCAATCTAAGAAATGATCAAAGTCCCATTATCTTTTTCACAACTTGTTTGATGATCTGATACCAGTTATCAACAACAGTTGACTCTGAAATCCCAGATGACAGACTGCCCTTGAATGCATCATCAAGGACAGTTTGCAAGACAATTTAGGAGAGTATAAATGCAGGAAGTACAGCATTATCTTTTTCATTTTTTCACTTTGTTATCAGATAATTAAAATGCAAAGGTTATCAATATGCTCAGATGTTAGACTTTCCATGAATGCATCACCAGATATTTTGAAAGCAGTCTAGGAAAGTATAACACATTCATATGAGGTTAAAATTAAGATTTGATTATTTTTGTTGGATTTTTAAAGACCTGCTGTAGTTCATAAGTTAAATGTGTTGCAAGAAATGGCTCTGAAATCTCAGATGTCTGATTGTTCTTGATAGCACCACCAGTATATTTTTCAAAGCAGTCTCAGAAAATTTACATAATTAGTATTTACTATTTAATACCTTAATAAAAGCACTGAAAACCTGATTTGAAAAAATCTGAAAAATGTGTTTGCTTTGGTCTTTTTTGCAGAACATTCCACATAGAGAGAGATATAATGGGAAACCCGTCTTCTCCAGAGAACCACTGAAGGAAACGTTGGAGGTAAAGTCCATTTGATCATTTAACCACTTTAGCATCTGTGCATGTTCAAACAGAATTGGTAACTTTTAACAAATAGCTCATCCATGCTTTTTTTTTTCCTTCAGTGAGAGTACAAGATTAATACGACTTTCCTCTCTGTGAGTTAAAACTGAACTGGAGTTTAGAAGCCTGGCCTAGCATAAAGACTGGAAGCAGAGGCAAACAGCTAGCCTGACTGTGTTCAAAGCTCACAAATACACCTACCAGCACTTCTACAGCTACTTCAGCTGTCCAGAACTTCTGTACAGCGTCCCTGACTACAGCACAGGTTGCAAGAAGAAGACACAGTTTGTTAATTTGTTAGCTTTAAAGGTGCTGGTAGGCATAGTTTTGGACTTTGGACGGCAGCAAGCTAGATGTTTCCCATTGTTTCCAGTCTCTATGTTTAATTAAGCTCACTGCCTCTGGACTCCAGCTCTGAATTCAAAGCACTGACATGAGATTGGTATTGATATTTATATACAGCTGTCAAAAAAAGACAAGCTTATGTCCCAGCCTGTTTAAGTTAATGCTTAAAATCTGGTGGGATTTGTTGATGGTGCACAGCGCATGGCACAGTTCAGGGAAATAAAGACCCTTATTATAACAGACTGGCACATGGATGTCAGTTAAGGTGACAGGGAGCATTAAGTTAATTCGAAGGGCTTTAGAAGGTTGTGTAGACTGCTAGACTGCTTTAAGGTGCTTTCCAAGTCTCTTGTCCACCCTCTTTGATCACTGAGTCAGCAACTGGCTGGTGTTTTCCTCAGGTTTCAGTCTTTCACACTTTAGTCTCGAACTGTTTCTTTAATGAGCTGGAGCTTGTATTGAAGTTTTGTGGTTTTTGTCCTGCTGGCTCTGCATCGTGCAACCTTTGCAGCTATTCTCAGACTCCAAGTGAAACTTTCACTCTTCACCAACAGTAATGCAAAGTCACTTCGTGGTTTGTTTCGAGTGCCGAGTGTTAAAACTGACTTGTCAGCAGTGTCTGTTTTCTTATTGTGTTTCAGTACCTGGAAAGGTGTTCAGACAGCTTGCTGTTCATGGTGGTACACAGGGAAGAGGGTGTTATGTGGAAAGCGGTATTTAGCACAGACTTAGTGGCCACCCACCATACACACCCCTCTGGGATTTCCCCTTTTGTTGTTCTTTTACACCAAAAACACAGGCGTTATATTTCATCATTTTTAAATTTGTTTCTTTCTGGAGACCTTGCGTGACTCATCTGAGGTGAAACACCATTTTAGGTGCTAAGTAACTAGTCCCATTTAAAGGAGACTATCTAGCATGCTTATAGAAATTCAAATTGTTGCTGCTCACTGAAAACCACATCTCTGTATTTGGTCACTTTCATGTTTCAGATCATTTGGAGAATCACGTATGTCTCCAAATTCCACTTAGTCATATCAAAAACACAGTTTCATCAGAGATAACCTCAGACTTGCTTTTATAGCTCCTGAAATTTCGATCTACAAACCTCAGAGACTGGTCAGTACTTTCCAAGCGATTTGGATTTGGATCCTGTGCCCTCTCTGAGGTCTTGCATCCAAATGAGTTTCAAGCCAGTTAGCAGTGCTGGAATATGACATTCACGCTTCACAGTGAACGAGTGGTTTGCCTTGCCTCCTCAAGGCCTGCTCTGTGCTTAACTTGTCTCCTGTGTGGGAAACCACAGAGTTTTTCCACTGTGTGAAAGGTTTTCACCATCTTGAGGGTGGTACAAGTTTGTTGAGCCACAAAAGATCATCTTATCTTTTGTTTAAATAACTATACCCATCTTCTCTATGTCATAGGACATGCCATCAGGTTTTCGGTTAATTTCCTACCTTTTAGGCAGACTTGTTAAAGATCATTTGTTCAAAAATCAGCTTGCAAAGACTTGACACTCCTGCAAACGCTGCTTTTTTAGAATATACTCATCAAAGACAGTTGTAGCCAACAAGCTAAAACATACATTCTGTCAGCAAGCTTCACTAGAAACAGGCTTTATTTAATTACCTCTGTGTTTTTTCTCTCAGATGAAGAGGGTGTTTATGGGTGGCGTTTTGGAGACGTACGAGAAGCTGCTCAGCCACATGTTGAAAAATCTGCCCACCCCAAGTCCTCAGACAACCGGGAGCAGAGAGCTTCCTGTCACCGCCACCCCTGGCACTGCTGGGTCTGAAGATGTCAAGGCACAGCTGAGATACATCCTGAAGAGGGTGCAGGACCTGAGGAAATATAGTTACCAGGACCAGGAGAAGCTTCTGCAGGGACTGCATTCCCTCAGACACATCCAGGTAGAGAGACATGGGATACAGCAGTTTACCTGTATTAGGCTTAGGAAAAGCTTGTGGAAGCCGTACAGACAGCTTTTCACGGACACACAGATGTACAGTGTTAAGAGATTATGGTAGGGCTTATGGTTTATGTAGGACCTATACAGGGCTTGTACCTAGGCTTATGGAAGATCTGTGTGGGCAATCAGGAGGTTCTGTAGCATTTAAAGTAAGGCTTAAGGAGCGGTCATGTAGGGGCCTATGGAGGACCTGAACTAAGGCTTATGAAAGGTCTGTGCTGGGCTCATAGAAGGCTTAAAGTATAGTTTATGGAATGTTTCTGTAGTGCTTATTTGAGGCTTATGCAGGGCTGTAGCTCAGGATCCCGCAAGGTTTTTAGAAGTCCTTGGAGGCTTTTGTGGGGTTTAAATGACAGCTTCTGAAGGTTTGTATGCAGGGCCTGTAAAGGGCATATGTAGACAGTTTTGCAGAGTGTATAGGGGACTTTAAAATATGGAAGGCTAAAATTAAGGCTTATTGTACAGCTGTGCACATCTTACAGAGGGCTTATGTAAAGGTTAAAGTAAAGCTCAGGCAGGGATTATTGGAAAGTAACACCCATATAAGGCCTTATATTGGGCTTACAGATGGGTTTAAACAACTAATGTAAGGCTTAGGAAGGGCATATGTAGGCCTTAAAGCAAGGCTTAAAAATGTTGCGTATGCCTGAGTGTAAGTCCTGCCAAGCCTTTGTCAACCCACCATGAGCCTCATGAAGGGCTCAATGAGGGCTTTTGCATTACAGAGGTTTTACAGGTTATATGGGACTTTTAATGTAGACATATGATGTGCTTTCATTTATTATTGTTGCTGTGTGATGCTGTTTGCAAACTGTTCTGTTATATTCTGTACTACCAACAAACCCCTTTGGTTTTTAACACATTTCTCAGTGTGGGTAATGCGGTCTCTTTACATGAATGTAAGATTTCTCTCCCTGCCTCATCCTACAGATGGATAACCATGTTGTCCAGAGCAAAGCACTGTGGGAGCTGCCGTGGTTGTATGAGGAGGCGAGCTCGTTGTCTGACATGCAAATGAGAAGGAGGCGGCGACGGCGCCGGCAAGCACGGAAGGTCAAAATTCACCCAAGCGCCTAAAACACGAGAAGGCACAGCAACCACATCAGAAATGACAGTGATAAATATATAATAACAGTACAACATGGATGCAGCGTATTTATTGGCACATTTAAAATAGATTTAAAAACTAACATTATCCATTATACCTATTCTACATTTTTTCTGTTTTAGGGAATATTGGAGATTATTTCATAGATATTTATTAATTAAGATTACCGCAGCCTAAGCCTAATTCACATTGTAGTTTTATAAGATTTAGGTTTTTATAAGGAAGTTTGGTGCACAGAACTTGAAAGCAGGTTTGATCCTGTGAAATGTTTTTTACTGCAGCATCGAGATAGATGTTAACTTTTGTATGCAACATATTTTCACTCACTTTTTCAGCCAATATTTATTTTAAAATGTTTTTAAATACACACAAAAAACTGCAGATGATTTAGTGTTCAGAAAAGCAACTAGAGAGAAAATGACAATATATAATTTCCAATGACTCAGGTTTGAGATTAAGTTCATTATAATTATTTTACAATAAATGATATGATATGATATTGCATTGTATTTTTTTTTAATAAAATACAAAATTAATCAAGAAAAAATAAAAGACTGCTAAAAGCCAATAACTGACAATTTTTGTAGTGAAACTACTTCCTGATGCACTCTGATTGGACAGTGGTAGTGTCGGACTAATAGGAGAGTCCTGATTGGTTAAAAAAGCACATGTTGCACATGTGAACTATGACATATATGAAATTTCACGTGAAATATTTTTTTTAAAAAGCAATAGAAGTGGAAATAGTGTTTTTTATTTTACTGCAAAGTTCTCTGGGACTTGTAGTTGATTTCTTTCTGACAGTTGAACACAGTGTTGAAGCTTTTGCCTTTTTATAAACGAAGCAAATATTTTTTTGGTCAAGTGGTAAAAATAAGCAGGACTGTTTGGACAGGAGGCCTTTGCCACTGTCTCCACTGTACTGCCCAAGAAAACTTATGGTGATGATGTTTACAGTACAAAGTACACCAGAGTCTAATACTGTTGTACTTAAATGTACTACAAGTCCTCTAAACATTCAGGTCCAGCACTGAAGTACTTCACTGCAGTACAGGTACTCTGCAGCTGTAGTAGAAGTACTACATGGTTCAGGGATTTTTGTATTTTACTGATGTTATAGTTTTCTGTATTTATTTTTGTATTTAAAGTGTTTATTTAATACTGAATCATATTGTTGTGACTGTTTATTATTTATTATGTATTTATTGATTGGCACATGCAGAGAAATGCAACTGAATAAAGCAAAAATAACTTCATCTCAGCTGTTTTCTGATTCTTGCTGTGGTTTTTTTCAAAGGATGGTTATTAATTTGAACTTCAGGGGGTAACCATTCACAGATGTGACAACAATCTCACCTCAGGGTCCACTGAGTAGCTGTTCTGGTGATTTCAGTCTCATAACATGATCATTATTACCAGATGGATTTGCTCCAATTTCCACATTTTTGAGCACTTTAGGAACTCTTGCCTTTAAAGCCAACAGAGACAAGAGGTCCTTCAAAGATAACACTTGTGACTTTGTGTTGTTATTTCCTGCCGATCCACCATCACCAATTAATGTGTATGAATCCAAACCCTGCTTTAGTTTATTACTCTGTGCCAAAACCATTCAAGAGCCCATGGCACTTTTCCTTGTTTTCTGACTTATCTACAATGTTATAACAGTGAATCATCATCTTAGACATGACCTGAAGCTCAAAAAACGAGGTGTATGTACAGTATGTTCTAGTACTTCTATGCAGAATCACAATCAGAATCAGCTTTATTGGCCAGGGGTGTCGGACACATGAGGAATTTGACTCTGGTACGTTGGCTCTCAAATGTGCATGTACATATCCCCATGCAAGGGGCAAGTAAACAGTAAACCAACATAAGACTGTGTAGTATAACCAAATAAGCAGTATTAACAAGCAACAAACAGGGCAAACAATGCAAAATAAGCAGTATAAACAGGCAGTAAACAATGCAGACAGACAAGGAACGCTCATTGTGAAATGGGATAAATAGGAATAAAACTAGAGACCTGTACGGATCTGTATAGTCTGTACAATGTATATTTACAGGTATTGCACTGAGGGTTATTGTCCAGTCATAATGTCGTGGGTCAAGTGTTCATCAGAGTGACGGCCTGGGGAAGAAACCACTGGTACCGTTGTAAAAGTGGAATTTTTCGACTGCTCCTGGTTTTGTGGATATATTCTCCCTCCTGCTGTTGCTCTGTGACCAGAGGATGTGGAGAAACATACAGGGCCTGAGGTTACTGCATGTCTGGGAATGTTCCTGTACAGGGACTCGCTGTTTTACCTGACTGGGTCTAACCTACAAGCAGCCACCCAGTGAAGCCCCCACGGGCGGTGAATGATCAGCTGATCAACACTGGATTCCCCCAGAGCACAGTGCCTGTTTATTCTGACTGCTTCAGGCCAGTGTGTCTGCTGCATGTGATATGTTGCTGGTTAACCAGTGGATTAATTATCCATGATGTTGCTATGCTACCTGTTGGAATTAATTTCACTACTTTGGGACTGTATGTGGTCGTGTGGGGGAAGACGCAGCGATCACCGTGTGGATTTACCGACCTTGGAGATACTTGAAATAGAGCGATGTTTCCACTACTCAGTGGGACTTAATGCTAAGTTTAAAAAACATGTTGCATGTCTGTTAATGTGTTGTTTCTGTAATGTTAGAGAGAATTGTTGTAAGAAGTTGTTGGAGAAGTTACTATGTCTGCATTTTGACAGTTAAAATATGGGGTTTCTCAATTATCCACTTTGTTTAGAGTGTTACACATCTCTTTTCATCAGTACTTATATTGTTGTTTACCTATCTATGGAGGAGACAGTCACATTGATTGTCAATGCAGTTCATTGTGCTGTCCACTTGCAACACAACACTGGCAGCAGGAGTTGTGCATGTTCACAAACTATCCTTTTGTTTTTAGAAAGAGGCTCTCTGATTTTATTGTTCTGAAATAATTACATAATTATAGACTATTTGTAGCTATGAGGGGCACCAAGCTTATTTAGAGGTACCCAAGATTAAGCATTAAATGGCTGGAAATGAGCAAAATGAGCAGTCAAAATGAGCAGAGCTAATCCCTCAGTGGCTCTCAGTAAACTCTATGATGTCATCAACGCGCTAGAGACAGCTCACCCCGATGCTGTATTTATCGCTGCAGGCGACTTTAACCAGTGCAACTTACAGACTGTGCTCCCCAAATATTACCAACATGTGAACATTCCCACCCGGGGCAAGAACACTCTGGATCATGTTTACAGTAACATATGTGGTGCATACAGGGCCGC